AGTAAGAAAAAGAATTGCAAGTGAAGCAAAAGCATCATTTGGTCAAGGAGAAATCCAGAAAGATGTGTAAGATGTGTATCCAGTTTGTAGAAAGGGGGTCAACAATCATACTTAGGTGATGTTATTGAGACTGCATATAGGAATTTTGCTGATAGAGAGAGAAGATTAGTCTCTTTCAACCTTCCAGATGGTGTTATGATAGACAATGAGATACATGAGGCTGCACATGATGTGAGTATTTTTTCTAGCTCCAACTTGTATTAACAAAGTTTTCTTGTATATTGACTTGTTAGGTTTTTTTTACATTTACTTTGGTATGTATTTTGCTTTTCGTTGGCTGCTTCTGCTTTGCCTCCTGCTGCTGCTATGCTATTTTGCTAGAACATTGTTGCTTGCTATGTGTTTGTTAGACTTTAAGTAAAATAGCTTATAAGACTGTTTAAGTGATAACCTTGAAAATAATAGTATAACTAGTAGCTTGCTTGTAGGAATTAGAATTAGTTACTGATAAACCCAAATTTACCATGGAGATTGGTCACAATTTCATATGTTATATATATTTGTTCTGCTTCTAGTAATAATAATATTTAGTAATTGCTAAACAAAAAGTAAATTAAATACACTGCATAGTAAATAAATTAACTTTAAAAGTAATAAACACTCTTTTCAATGTTACATGCCGAGCGTATAAACTGCATAACAGACAGGATTAAAAAACCGAAAGTGAATTTGTCTGCATCGGATTCTCATCTATATTCTGAAACACAAAAGTTGATATAAGACCCTAGAGTGCAAAGGGTTATTGATGAAATAGTGAAGATTAACGATAATTTGAGAGATGTATCTAATGTGTTTCTATTAACATGGGAGGAGCAACATAAAAATCCTGAAACTAATCCAAATTATGATAGAGATAATCAAGATGGTGTAGATGCTACTTCAAATTTTATACATGATGCTATTAATCTGGATGATGAAAATAAAGAATCTGAAAAAGAGGAGGAAAAGGAAGAGGACAAAAACGAAGAGGAGAAGGATGAAAATAAAGAAGAAAAGGAAGAAAACAAAGAGGAGAAAGAGGAAGATGAGGGAGAAAAAGAAGGATGAAAAGCAACAAGAGAAGGAAGCTGAAGTTAGTGTAGCAGTTGATGTAGATACTACAAACCAGCCAATTGATGGTGATGATATTGATGAAGAACCAAATGAAGACCTCACCAATGTAGTAAGATCGATCACTAAGAGTATCCTAAAGGATATTGTTGTTCAAGAGAAGCAGCCAAATGTTACAAAGAAAGCAACAGAAAAAACAATTGAAAGTAAGTTGTTAACAAAAGAAAGTAAATATTGTATAAAAGTAAATACAAATCAATTAAAAGTAGATAGTGTATGATTTATTTGAAACTACATCTGCTGATTTATTTCAGGTGATGGTGATAAAGAACTTGTTGCAGAAGAAACCATTGTGCTTAAGAACATTCACCAAGAGATAGCTTCAAAGATAAACATCAATGTAGATTGTGGAGAAAAAGATGTTGAAGTTGATTTCGTTTTAAAGTCGATGAGAAGCAACAAATCAAGAATGAATGAAATGCCAGAGCTGTATCAAGTAGTGGTTGATTACTGCTTTGTGAAGTATAGTGCATTCAAATAGTAAGTTATGAAATTTTTTAATTTTAAAAATATTCTATCTACTTTAGTTAATATTTAATTTACCTCAAATAATATTTTATTTTCTTTATAAACACTTAAATGTGCAGAGTGAAGAGCTTGTGAAATATGAAGCTCCTCTCATGATAACAAGGGATGACACAGTATCCCTAGCCCCAACGGCCCCCCCTCAAATGATAAAATCCAATATAGTTTAATGTTGGTCATTTCTTATGAATGATTCACGATTGAAAGAAGATCCATCATGCTTTTTCTTTGGCATAGACCACAATGTAAGCGTTAAATTAAATGTTTAGCTAAATACATAATTAAATGTATATGATCTAATTAAGTAACATGTTTTATGTCCTCATTAATACACAGAGACCTCTAGAGCTGTCTCTCATGTCACAAGATCCTTCCCAGCCAACTCCAAAAACATATGAAAAAGAAATACCATCTCCTTCAACACACACGGCAGAATTGAATCAGGCATGGTATGATTGGATGTGCCTCTGTGATGCAAAGGAGAAAATTATGACAGCTCAGTTAGTATGTTTTATTATTCATGTCAATTAAACTACATTGTAGGGCATTATGATTTTGAATTTGTAGACTAATAAGTGTAATTTTAATGATAGATCTTTGTTCCAATCTGTCTTAATAACCACTATAGTTTGGTAATGGTTAACTTGTTGAAAGAGACCATTCAATACTTGGATAACAGGAAGTATGATGACAGGCATAAGCCTTTCTACAAAATTCTTGCATCTCTTGTGGTAAGATTTTTTAATTTCTCAAAAGTAAATTATTATTAATATAAAGTAAATGACATTACTATAAAAGTATATAAGTTTGTATTAAAAGTATACATTATTATGCCTGTAAAAAGAATAAGATAAAATATAAAGTAAATGATGTTCTTACTAAAGTAATACATATGTTATTTAAAGTAAATTGTACTGTAAATTTGTTTTACTTATATATTGCTTTACAAATGTTATAGGTGGAGGAAATGTTAAACTTCCTGAAGAGAATTAATCATGAAAAAGCTAATGAAATACTAGATTATGAGTTTGGTGAAGTTAAGTTCAAGTGGAAATCACCAAAATATACTCTTGATTGTGGTGTTTTTATGATGATGCATATGTTGTGTTTTACTGGAGACCCTTTTGGTTCTGACCTTGATTTAGAAAATAGAAGAAAGGTGTATCGTGCAGAAATCTGTGATACACTTGCTTTAGCAGAGATAAACACTAAAAGAAAAAGTCTTGTGGAAAAATTTTCAAGGTTCAGAGTAGTTAGAAAACTTGAGCAGGAGAAAGAGGTGAAAGATATGATATATGTTTCTGATTTCTTGAAAACACGCAAAGAAGTAATGGAAAACATGAGCTTGAAATGTAACCAAGTGATTGACTACTTAGCAATCAATGATGATGAAAACTTTCCAAATAAAGGTATGTGTTATACTTGCAAATAAACTAATACTCATGTTGCATTATATATTAAATTTGTTTGGCATAAATTTAATTTAACATTACAGCAAAGTAGTAGGTTGGTTTGGAGAATCAATTGAAATAATAAGGGAAGATTGTAACACTTTGCGTAATGAATGGAAAGTTTCAACTAATCTGATCATTGCTTGGTCAAACCACCTCAATAACAATGAAAGGCAAAAAGAGAGGTCTGAAAATGACATGGTCAGATTCTTCTTTGGACTTTACTTCATGGTAAGTTTTTTACGTTTACTTTTATAATATAAAACTATGCATTTAATAAATATGTGAAATAAACTTGGGAATTTTTTTGCAGGATGCTTTAACTATGTGTTTGAATGCACATGGGAAAAAGGGAGTAACAAGTCTGCAAAAACTATGGATTGCTTAGACAAAATCACAATCATTGGACTTGGATGCAACTAAATGTGTAAGATATAGAATAAATATTTAAAGTAGAAAAATATATGTTTAAAGTAATAAAAAACAGCTTTAAAGTAAATATGTGTAAATATTTTTTATGTGTAGGTATTTAATACCTATCCATTGCAGATCATACAAATGCAGAAGTTGTTTAAAAAAAGAAAGCATCTAAAGGAAAATGATATGTTGTCCTACAAGCGGAGAATAATCAAACTTCCATTCCAAAAAGAAAGACAAGAAAATTACTCAGGAAACTATCTAATGCTGCACATGAAGGTGTATGATGGTGTTAATGGGATAGTGGGAACCATAAAAGAGGTAAGTTAACATAATTATTTTTGAAGTCCTTAAATTCTTTAAGTTTTATGGATACTTAGAGAATAATTTATTAAAACTTGATTTAATTTTTTGTTTTTTACAGGAATTTCAAAGATTGACACACCATCATATAAAAACAGTATTTGACCTACTTCTCAATGAACAATCAAATGCAAGAGAAACTGCTGACAAATGTTAAGGATTAGGAAGAGAAGAAAGCACAAAAAGCATGTGAAGAATTGTAAATGTTTTTAATAGATTTGAATATATCATAGGCATTAGAGTACTTTAAGTTGTATAGTATTAATCCAAAACATTAGTTTGAAGGTTTAAGTAGTATGTTTGTATGAACAATACATATTATATCTCTGAGTTAAAGTAGTAGAATTATTTTTTGTGAAAAATGGCGCTAGATATAAAAGTAGAAGAAATCAATCAAAAGGTAAATAAAAATAATGTTAAAGTAACCGGAAGTCAGTTAAAAGTAAAAGAAAAAAGTTTAGAAAATGAAGTCTTTCTGAAATATGGTGTTCGATTTTTAAAGCAAAGAAAAATACTGTTACAGTAAAAGAAATTACTCCAAAAGTAAATGAAATTATCATTAAAGTAAAAGGAACAAATTTAAGAGAAAAAAAAAGTTCAAAAAATAGTCAAAAATATGATGTTTGATTTAAAAGTAAAGGGAATTAGTGTTAAAGTAAAAGACATAAAGTTAAAAGAAAAAGAAAAATGTTTAACAAGTTTTGTTACCTTGGGACCATGGGGGAGTATTAAAAAATAATGTTAAAATGTGGTCCCATACTATTTTTAGAAATGTGTCAAGTATTTTGGGACGGATGAAAATGGAAATCGTGCCAAGTATTCTAGGACGAAGGGAGTAATATAAGATATTATCTTCAATTTTGTAAATAAGGACATTACATGATAATACAACTCATATGATGTATTATTCATTGTGAAAGGCAGGAAAAAACAATATCATAAAGTAAATGAAATATTTCATAAAATTAAAGTATAATGGGTAAAAGTAAATAAACTAAACTTTATTTCTGCAGTACAATTACTTAGAGTAAATGTAAAAATATTACATAAAAAAAAATATTTCTTTAGTATATCTTAATCTTGATCTTCCAAAACATCTTTAAATTTCCAAGTATTATAATAACTGCACAAAAATAAACATCAGAAAATCAGTGACATATTAAAATAAATAAATTACAATGTAAAGTAAATAAATTTCAACTTAAAGTAAATGAGAAAAGTACAAAGGTAAAATATCTATAAAAAAAAGTACAAGTGTAATAACACCTGCACAAAAATAAAAAGTAAATCAAGTTAAATGTTAAAGTAAATAAATAACAAATTAAAGTAAATGGAACACATGTCTAAGTAAAATACCTAAAGAACTACTTGTTTGGACAATTTCTACTGCATGTGAAACACCAGGTTGCCCACAAGCTCTACAGGTTATGCCCTTTTTGGATTTTTCTTCAGAAGCTACTTCTTTTGCACTCTTCAACCGCTTTGAACTTCTGGCAGAACCTTTTTTAAGACACTGATTTGGAGGCAAGATGTTTACATCTACTTCATTTGACCCAACCAAAACCTGAATAACAACATCTTTCACCTCTTTTGAACTAGTTGCATTTTCAGGATTATTCTTTGTTAACATTTGCTCCTCAAATGAAGATAATGTCCTAATAAGCTCAGATAAATCATCCTCAGATTGCTCAGATGAACTCACACTACTGAAAAATCTTGGACCACACATCACTCACCAATTGCTTCTTCTTATCATACTTAGAAGCATCATCCAGAACAACATTTATGACTGAAGCTTTCTGCAGAATGTCTTTTCTCCAACGATTCATGATATAAAGATCAGGAATTTCACGTATAGACTTGTCGTTCATAATAAACAGAATGTGTCTACTTAAGATGCCTTGACTCTCAAACATTTTACAAGTACAACTGCACTCATATGTGGCCAAGTCAAAATTTACGTCAAAGTTTTTCCTTTTCTCATGATCAACAATTACAGAAAACTCCACACCATCTCCATACAGAGAACTACAACTTTCAACACCACATGACAAACAAGCTTCCTGACATTCTTCTTGAAAATCATAAAAGATGGCACGACTGTAAACAACAGCAGCGTGCTTTTCCAAGTGTAAATGAATAAGCAATTGAGGCTCAGATTTATTAAGCTTGTTCAACTCATCCTGTTCATGCCTTTGAGCATCAAGAGCAGTTTCATAACGGACAAAGAATTCAACACAGGTCACATGGGGGTTTATAAAATTACAAAAGAAACTGTTTTCACCTTCAGACCTTGAAGTAGAACGTAGTAACCCACCCATAAACATGTCCCTGAAATATGCAGGGATCCAAAGATGCCTAATCTTGAACATGTATGCAAACCACTCATGATCTACAAGGTCAAATTCCTCCAT